TGCAATCCACAGCGAGGAACCGGGGCTGGGATATACCCCAGCCCCTCGGGTTCTCTTGAGTTCGATTATTTGATTTAAATAAACTTCCCCAAACCTCTGAGGTTTAGTTTGTTTCCAGATTTTGGGGAACTCGAAGAGGGCTGGTGGCTCCCAGCTTTAGCTCTCCCGTGGGTCACTGTACTGAAGCTCCGAGTTGAAGACCTCCTTGTAGAGGGGTGGGAAGTTCATGGCAGTCTCCGGGTGCAGGAGACGGAAAAACTCCAGCTTGTCCAAGTGCAGGTTGCAAATGGTCTTCATCAAGGGCAGCTTGGAAACCATCTGCAGGGAAAGGAGGAGCTGGTGACCATGGGGTTCCTGGCCAACATCCTTTCCCTTGGGGACAAGCAGGTGGGTTTGAGGACCACTGGCACTGTGGACAACTTCCACCATTGGGCAGCCTGGCAGCAGTGTGGCTTTGCCTCCAAACCCATGTCTTTCTGCAGGACAACCAAACTCAAGGAGCCCCCAGTGTCCCACTCCCCATCCCAGCTCCATCCTGCCCAAAGCGTTCCTGAACTGGCTCCTTTCGCTCCAGACACCCACTGCCTGATGCGCTGCCAGCCACTGGCACTGTGGACAACTTCCACCATTGGGCAGCCTGGCAGCAGTGTGGCTTTGCCTCCAAACCCATGTCTTTCTGCAGGACAACCAAACTCAAGGAGCCCCCAGTGTCCCACTCCCCATCCCAGCTCCATCCTGCCCAAAGCGTTCCTGAACTGGCTCCTTTCGCTCCAGACACCCACTGCCTGATGCGCTGCCAGGTTCAGTGGCACAGGGCTGCCTGTGGTGAGGATGCCTCTGCCTGCACTGCAACAGACATGCATGGCCTGTGGAAAGGGAAATTCTCCTTCTTCAACAGGTCCCAGGGCTCACCACCCAAAAACACCCATGCGTGGCTCATGAGCTCCAGCACAGCCACCTCCACCAGCTGAGACATCTCCCCGTGCCCTGCCTGGCTCCAACCATGCATCACCGCTACCTTCGAGAGCTTGTCCTCAGCGGAGTGTTTCTTCTGGATCTCGTGCTGCAGAGCCACATAGATCTTGTCCTGGAGCTTCTGAACCTTCTTGGACTCGGTCAGCCAGGGGCGATCTGCAGGAGATGGCAGGTCAGAGCCACCATGGGGATCTCCCCCAGCCTCCCGTGCCCTGCCTGGCTCCAACCATGCATCACCGCTACCTTCGAGAGCTTGTCCTCAGCGGAGTGTTTCTTCTGGATCTCGTGCTGCAGAGCCACATAGATCTTGTCCTGGAGCTTCTGAACCTTCTTGGACTCGGTCAGCCAGGGGCGATCTGCAGGAGATGGCAGGTCAGAGCCACCATGGGGATCTCCCCCAGCCTCCTTCCCTTAAATCACCCACCAAGGAAGCAGCACTGAGATGTACGGGTCCACTCTCCCCAGCTTTGGCATGAGACACCCCCCTCCCCGGCTGCAGTGTTCCTCATACCCGGGGAGAGCAGGACGGCAGCGGTGAAGAGGGCGAGCTCCTCATCTGATAGCTGCAGGCGGCACAAGGTCCTCCCCAGCTCAAAGACGGCACCGATGAGGTCGTCACAGCCTGATGGGGGACAGCAGGGAAGAGGGGGACGTCACAGCACCCCCGGCAGCACCCGAGGCACCTCAGAACATGAGATAGGTGAAGAGGGGTCCCCAGCTCAGCACTGCTGGGCTTCGGGCCAGGGTGGAAAGCAGGTCCCAGCCATGGCACACATCAACCCAGTCCCAACTGGAGTGGGGGCAAACACAGCAGGGTCTCACCCTGCTTAGCCCAGCCATGCAGATGCTGCTTTTCACCCAGCCCTGTCCGGGTGTCAGAAGGAGAGGAAAAGGAGACAAGAGCCCTGAGAGGCTCTTACCGAGCGACTTGAACATCTGCATGCCACCAAACTTCCCCTCGAAGAGCACCGTGTTGTTCAAGGGGTTGAACGCGCGGATCATGCGGATCAGGAGCACCTCGAGGCAACCTGACATAGGCAGAGAGAGCGCAGACAAGGGCAGGGCAGGGGGTTTCCATCATCCCAGTACCAAGTGTAAGACAGAAGAAAGCCCCCAGGGCAAGTATGAAGTCCAGATTGTTCATTCCCGAGAGCAGAATGATTATTTCCAACAAATCCAGTTTTGGGGGGTTGGTTTTGGGGTTGGTTTTTTATTTTTAGGTTTCCAGTTGTGACCACAATATTTCACCAAAGGGAAACATTATCCATCGTTTGCAGCCGGCCACAAAGATCCATCGAGGTCATGGTGGAGCACCGAGAGGGGAGAGGGTGAAAACAAAAGAAATGGAAAGAAAATGGAAGGAAGAAAGGAAAGAACGAGTTAAACTCCAGCATGTCGGGCACGGCCAGCGCTGGCTTTGGGATACAGCACCCTGCCAGGATGCTGGCACATGTCCCCTGTGCTGGGTGAGGCTCTCAGCCCTGAACATTTAGAAACTGGGAGGGTTTTCCATTGTTTTGGGCATTTGGGGGTTTTTGCACATTGAGCTCCCTTGCCAGACAGACTGAGGGGACACGGGTGTGTGCTGCTGTTGTCCTCCTCTTCCCAGTCTCTTACCAGGAGAAGTGGGCAAACCTTTCCTCTTCTCCCTCCCAGCACAACTTTTCCTGGTGGGAAATCCACTGTACTCATTTCCAACCCAGTTTCTGGGTAACATTTAGTTGAGGGTGCCCATGCAGAAAAGCCTCTGCCTGAGGTGGCCACTCCCCACATTCCTCTCTATCCCATCACCTTTAAACATGAACTTCAACTCCTTCTAGCCCAGTACCTGCTCCCCAGGCACCGATGTCGAGCCTGGAGGCAACCAGGGCAGCAAGGGAGGAGAGATCCTGAAAGAAAAGCACTAGCCAAGAGGAAAGATGGGATATATAGATCCTTCCAGTGCCTAAAGGGGCCACAAGAAACCTGGAGAGGTGCTTTGGACAAGGCCCTGCAGGAACAGGACAAGGGGAATGGCTTTAACCTGACAGAGGGGAGATTGAGGTGAGCTCTGAGGCAGAAGCTGTTCCCTGGGAGGGTGCTGAGGCGCTGGCACAGGGTGCCCAGAGAAGCTGTGGCTGCCCCATCCCTGGCAGTGTTCAAGGCCAAAAAGCTTGGAGCAACCTGCTCTAGTGGAAGGTGTCCCTGCCCGTGGCAGGGGTTGGAGCTGGAGGAGCTTTAAAGCCCCTTCCAACATTCATCATTCTATGATGATTCTGTGCGATGCTTTTGGCACCGTGGCTGCTGCTTGGGAGAGGTGTTGGGGTTATGAGGCATCTGGCAGGGACATGAGAGGGGCAGGGACGTGAGGGGCAGGGATGTGAGGGGCATGGCTGGATCCCTGCTCTTACCGGCTTTCAGGAGGATGATTTGGTCATTCTGGCAGAGCTCCATGAAGC